TTCTTCCCTTATTGTGATTGTAGTATTGTTAACCATTTCGTGTAGTCTTTATATATACATCATGTTCTGTTGTTCCTATAATTGTACAGTTTATTGGACCGTTAGGTGTCTTGACTGTTCCTCGTTGCTACCCCATCGAGGTTAGTCTTGAGACTTACTGGGCACCGATGTGGTGTGCTCATGCTACTCTTCTGCACATTTTTGTTATGCAGATCCAGGTACTTCCACTCAGTCTTACCATCCTTGAGGTGAGGCGCTGCTGTAGAGACTTCGAGGTATATCTGCTGCGTCCGCAGACCAAGGAGTCTTTTTCTATCTTTCTGTAATAAGTATAGCCCTTCAGTAGTTTTCCTTTTGTTAGACATTTTCGGAGTTAGAGCTTCTTATGTATCTCTTAGCTTGTGATTCATGGGGTTCCGAATTTTGGGAGTGTTAGGTTGAGATTTTGTACTGTTATGTGCCAGGCGGCATCTTAAACACTGTTCTATTTTACTATTTCATTTTTTTTTTAAATTATTTCTTCCGCATTGTTAAGCTTACCTAGTCGTAGAGACTAGGTGCCGTCACGATGGTTCACGGAGGGCGAACCGGGGTCGTGACAATAATAGAATAACCGAAAACTTGGTATGGCATAAAATTTATAAAATAACCGGCCGAACCGAACCATTGACACCCCTAGCCATAATGGCACGAAGTAAGGCAAGACTCAACTACCTCCTAACCTACAACCCTAATACACGAGTTTAACATCTTCCTATCAAGTGTCATGTCCTCGGAAATCTGAAGCCTCGCCATATCCTGCCTGATCACCTCTCCCCATCACTTCTTAGGCCGCCTCTACCTCTTCTTGTGCTCTCCACAACCAGCCGCGCACACCTCCTTACCGGAGCATCTGGGCTTCTCCTCTGAACATGCCCAAACCATCTTAGCCTCGCTTCCCGCATCTTGTCCTCAGTGGGAGCCACGTGCACCTTCTCCCAAATAACATCATTCCTAATCTTATCCATCCTAGTGTGCCCGACATCCACCTCAACATCCTCATTTCTGCTACTTTCATTTTCTAAATATGTGAGTTCTAACAGGCCAACACTCAGCCCCATACATCATAGCCGGTCTAACCACCGATATAATATGAATAACTTGTGAATAATTTGTAAAACTCAAACCACCATTGCTAATTATCCTTGTGAAAACTTTTTTATTCGATTTTTTTTTTTTTTACTGAATTTCTTAGTGCCACCATTTATGATGAAGTGGTTTTCATGCGTACCTCAAAAACAATTTCTTGCGACTTACTTAACAACTTGCAAAAACCTTGCTTATGGAATTGGCTCCTTGTGGTTAGGTGGGGATGGGGTTGTAGAGAGCCAGATAAGCACAAGTTTGGTGTTAAGAAATCATTGGAAAAAACGAAGAATTAAGAATGGGAATCATCCACTTGGACTAATTGCCTCCGCAGCACAAAAAGACTTAATTTAACCAAACTAGACAATCATCCTGGTCCTCCCCTTTATCCCATTTGGCAATTAAAAACTCTTCTTAACAAAACTTACTTTTTGCATTTTATTTCTATAGCAGTGTTTAATTAGACAAGAAATTTAGAAAAAAAGATTTTTTTAATAATTTATGATTTTAAACATGTCGTGACATTTATGTGTAAAGCTTGTTTCTAAGGTTAAAATAAATTTAAAGTTAAATTATTTTCTAGTAAGAAATATATCATTTTTTTTAGGATAGATTAAAAAGGAAATAATGTGACTCAAAATATAAAACATAGGCAGTCTTTAATAATATTGTTAAACCTCTTAAGAAAGATTCTCAAAATATTACAAAGTTATTCCCACTGGCGGCTCAATCGAATATATGGCCTAAAGCCGAAACAAAAAAGAGGCCCTAAACTGTTTTAGTAAATTTTTTATATATTTTATTTGATGTTTATTCTTAAAGCTTCCTAATATGCAAGGAAGTTAATTATTGGAGAATCAATGTTTTTTCACTTGACAATATGATTAGACGTCTGTAATTCTCATGAGATATTGTTGATCTTAAGTTAAATCTTACTTGATTTTAGTATAAATATTTTTAATTAAGGCAACTATTAGAAAACGTATTTAAATTATTCTATAAGCAATAAACATATTTAAAAAGCATAATTAAGACTTCACATATATCATTTCTACTTATATCGTTTTTCTATCACTTTTTATAGCTTGTTTGGATGGTTGTTACCTATTGTATCACATTGTATTTTTGTCAAAAAACAATATGATTGTTTCATTAAAATTGGTGGTATTGTATTGTTAAATCCATTGTTCCGAAACATTGAAAAGTTCAATTTTTGAAACAACCGATTTGGTGTGGTGGGATTGTTTCCTATTTTTCTTTCCAATTATGCCCTAACTTATTACTCCCATAATCCTATTTACCATTTATCTTTTTATTTTATTTTAACTCCAAATTTCCAACCTATAACCTACTTTGTCTTCTTCCTTTTTTTCCCAAATATTCTGCCGCTTCCAACTCCAACATAAAAGGTATAGGTTTGCCTTAGCTTCTTTTGTTTCGTTTTTTCTCCTAATGTGATCTTAACACCAATAATTTGTTAATTGCTAATAAGTGAGTTATTCAGCACCCATTTCTTCATGTAAAATAGAAGCAGCCGTTTCTTTGTATTTTTATCCCCGGCTGTTATTTTTATTTTTAATTGGTATTACAAGGATAAAACGCCATTCTAATCACTAATCAAACCCAGAAAAGAAGAAAATTTTGGATATTTAACACCCCATTAACATACTAACAAGCATCCCCGTAGAACTTGATGATACTTATCTTTCAATAGTTTTTGCATTGTTTTTATGCATAATTCTTGATAAATTTAATATTTAAATAATTGAGATTATTTTAGTAAACTTATCAGATACAGTACAGTACGACACAGTCAAACGAAACAGCAAAATTGTATTTAACAATAAAAAATAATTACAATCTATCCAAACATTATATTCATAAAACGATACGTTACAATACAATACAATATAATACATTATAAAACGATGGGTAACAACCATCCAAACAAGCTGTCAGTTCCAAAAATAGATTATTATGCTTTAAAAGATATTCAAAGTTAATAGTCTGTTTGACCAAGCTTTTTCAACGGCAAAAATATTTTTTTTCTAAAAAGTACCTTTTTAAGAAGTTGAAATGTTTGCCCAAACTTTTAGGAGGAAATAAGCTATAAGACAATACACTTTTCTAATCTAATTATTTAGTAATCTAGTTAGCTTGAGCTTGAACATATTTAAGAAGACACACAAAGAATTGAAAAAAATATCTTGCAACACCGAAGTTATAAACAAGAATAATTAAAGTTCAAATACATTAGACAAAATTAAATAGGAAGTAGCAACAAATTTAACTGCCTGCTAATTCCAATCGTAATTACATTAATGATCTTTTAAAACATTACTTAGTATAAACTTTGAAAATAGTGGTTAATAAAAACTGGCAACATATAATCACAAAAATTTGTTTTTCACTTATAATAAATATATAATAGTTTATATTTTATAGATGATCAATTTTGGGGCCTTTATTGTTTAGGGCCTAAAGCCACTGCCGCCCCTGGTTATTCCTTTTCCAGTATTAACTACATTTATTCGCATTATCATTAATAAGACATCTTAAGCAAGTAATCATTTCAAGTTATAATTATAATAATCCAACTACTTTAATCAATATCTATCTTAGCAAGACATAAATTAATAGTGATCAATAACCAGTAGGTAATGGAATACAACCCCTTCAGGAAAATGATGTTATGCGTTTACCAAAATATCCTTAAGCTTCTAATTAACTAGTATCATTTACAACAGCTTTATTAGTTTTATTATTTATCTTTTGATACTATTCATCTAATAACTCGACATTAGTTATTAGTTTTATTATTTATCTTTTAAAACTATTCATCTAATAACTCGACATTAGTGACAGAGCCAAAATTTTCACTAAGAGGATTCAAAATATAAGAAAATAAACACATGGAGAAATCAAGAAAATTCAACGTCTATTATATATACGGAGAAAATAATATTGACTTAGCAGTGCAATTTTTGTCGAAGGAGATTCTACGATGAACCCTTTTTCGCCCCCTAGCCCGCCTCCTAATAAATAGCCAGTACGAATAGCAAAACAACAAAGCAACAACCACCCAGTATAATCCCACAAGTGGTGTCTGGGGAGGGTAGGATGTGCGCAACCTTACCCTGGAATGGCAGGGAGACTTTTTTCGATAGATCCTCGGCTAAAGAAGGTAAAGGAAGCCCAGATATCAAGTAATAACAAGACAAATAATTAGAAAACTAAATCGAAGATAGCAACAGAGAATATGAAAGGGGTACCGATAACAAGTATAGCAAGATAGAAATGTTAAAAAATAGTTTGCCTCCATTAGAATATATATTTCTATAATTTCGTCTTTCTGAAATGTAGAATGACAACTACATAAGCTCTATATATTCATAGGCGGGATCCAAGTTTTGAAGTTTATGGATCGAGGTGCCACTGAATGATCATTTGAGTTACTCGATTCAAAATATAATATTTATATTTATTAGATTCTTAATAGATATACGAGGTATGAGACAAATACACTAAGTTCGATCAAACCCGTAGCCTCTAAAGAAGTATTGTACTTGTAGTCACAAAATGGTTATTACATACATGATCATGATTTATGAAGTACAACAAATTTTTCGTTGAGGTATAATATAAATTATTAATATTTTGAGAAAATTCCTGTAAAATAGCTGAAAGAAACATATAGAAAATTTTACATACGATTTTGTGGTTAACAAAATCACGTTGAAAATGATTGGTGGGGTATCATATCTCATTGTTGTAAATTCCTAATTTCAAGGAGAGGGAGTAAATTTCGGAGTTCAAGTGGTTAGTTATTTCAAAATCTCAAAATGTAAATTTCTTTTCGCAAAGGAAAAAAAAAAAAGGAAAGATAAAATATATTTGAAAGAAGTAGAGAGGATAAAAGAGTAAATAGACAGAACTATCAACTTCCTCTTCCCCTATAAACATCAAAAACAGTTTATTTTCAAAGCGGGGAGGAGAGGAGAAACAGAGAAGAGAAACTCAGAAAGAAAAAGAAAAGGGAATTAAAACCAATTGGCAGTTTGCCGGGAGAGTCACACAAAAGAACTCCGGCATTATGCAAAAGAATAATTAAACAAAAAAAAAAAAAGATTGGTTCTCTGATTCCTTTTTTTGGGATCAGGGAATCATTAATTTCATCCCCTTCTCACCCTTCCCATTTAAATTTTTTTTTTTTTTTTTTAAATTTGCATGTATGCATATAGTCCTCACACGAATATATTTCAATGATGTAATCGTACATATATATGTATGATTCATTGAATTTCATATGAATGAAAAATATTTGAAAATATTTGTGAGTTGTTGAACGGAGGTTGTTATTGAGGTGAAATGGGATTGGAAGAAAGAGAAGGGAAAATGGAGGGGTGGCTTTACCTGATGAGGTTAAACAGGTTTGGACTGCAATATTCACGTAAAAGATACTTCATTCTTCAAGACAACTGTCTCAAGAGCTTCAAATCCATTCCCACTTCACCAAAAGAGGTACGTTCTACTTTCTTTATTTCATGCAATAACTCTTTTAATTCATTTCCTTTTTCCCTTTCATGCAATAACTCTTTTAATTCATGCAATATAATAACTCTTTTAGCCGAGAGTCTATCGGAAACAGCCTCCCTAAGGTCTGCGCATACACTACCCTCCCCAGACCCCATTTGTGGGATTCCACTGGGTGGTTGTTGTTGTTGTTGTTCCCTTTCACTTTCAACATGTTTCTTAGTAAGGAGCATTTGAATGGTGTTATTTGAATTATATATGGATCCCTCTTTTGATCATTTTTCTGTTAATTTGAGTTTTTCTTATGTCAATATGCTTTTGCTGTGTGTGTATGTGTGTGTGGGGGGTTATTGATTTTGGCTCCTTAAATTTTGTTTTTTCACTTGTTCTTTTCTGTTATTCTTGAACTCTGGCTTCCAATGTTCAATACAAGTTTTTCACGTTGGGAGCTATTTAATTGTGGATGACATTGACAGTTTTAACTGTTTTAAAAAGGAAAAGAGCTGGTTAGTTGAAGTAGGATTATGTTGTAGTTCTTTTCTTTGGTGGATTAGTTTTCTAGATGGGCTTTGTGATTCTTCTATAGTAACACAAAGTTTAGAATTCTTCCACGGGAATTTCCATAGTTTTGTTGCTTTTGATGTGTAGTAGCCTGCGCTAAGATTCAATAAAAGAAGTGGAAGAATATACTCTACCTTTTACAAATCATGCTTCAAGTGTATTGTCTTAAAGGTAGTAGTACACCACTAAACACTAACGTTTTTGAGATAAAAGTTTGATATAAGGATAATATCATACAGAAATTTTAAGCACCTCAAGTTCTTGCCGGACTGCAGTTTCTTTGTTTAAACTGCATAATAATAGGAGACTAGTTCAACAATGCCTACATTTCGAATGCGCAAACTCAGTAAAGAGAATATTACACTTACTTTCCATGTTGCAGAAACTGATTCCTCCTATCTACATGTTCTTCTTTTGTGGCTTCTTGCCAGGACTTACATTTGTTTGGCCTTTTAGATTGCATTTGTGTGAGAAGCTAACTACATATATATATATGACATTTCCTATGATATCAAAATTTCCAATAACTAATTGATCTGGTTTGTATGTCAGGAACCAATAAGAAGTGCAATAATTGACTCTTGCATCCGTGTCACGGACAATGGAAGAGAGAGCTTTCATAGAAAAGTATGTGCTAAAATTTTAAAACGTATCATATTTTGAAAGATAAATCAAGGGTCCACCTTCTTTTGTTTTTTTTCTTCTTATTAAATGATCAGTTTCTCGTTGCAGGTTTTCTTCATTTTCACCTTGTATAACACCTCTGATCACAATGATCAGCTCAAGGTATGCTCCTTTTACAGAGTGAATTTATTCTTTCAGGATAAAACACTCGAATACAAGCCTCTCTTTTCACTTTTTTTATGTAGTTCGGAGCATCCAGTCCAGAAGAGGCTGCCAGATGGATACATTGTTTAAAGGATGCTGCACTCAACCCGGAAAGAAGCTTACATGCTCCTTCAAGAAGAAAATGGCAACCATTCAGGTTAACAATTGATTTTTTAAATGCTCAAATTTCTACTTCTAAAGCTTCATTTGATGTTCATATGCTGTTCCTCTTTTTGTAACCAGATTCAGATCTTCGTGACTGGGAGAGTGGCATCTCTCTCATTTTAACTTAACTTACCATATAACTGACCAGAAAATCTTATTCTTGTATAGACAGCTAGCATACTAGAAATAGAGGAAACACCGAGCTAGTTCAGACAACTATTCTTAAGAAAGAATATGGGGCCTAACTCAACCTCAAAAGTTAGATAAGGATTATGCAACACCATATAAGGTGACAAAAAATCATTCTTTCAATTAACGTGGAACACTCTAACACCATACGCATGCTCAGACTGTATATATGAAGCATAGATAACACAACATGTGAGTCCAACACTAGGAAACACAATAACAGGAATTGGTCTAGCTCTGATACCATGTTAAGAAAATAGATCTTGTGCCTAACTCAACCACGAAAGTTATCTCATGAATGAGGTGAAGATTATCCAAAACCATATAATGAGACAACAACTCATTCTCTCAACCAATGTGAGACATTCTAACAATTAGAAAATCAAATTCTCATAGTTCGGTAAAAGATCATATAATGAGACAACAACTCATTCTCCAAACCAATGCTCCTTATGCTTACTGTCCCTCGTATTTCCTTCTTTCTCTAATTAGAGTTCAGTAAAAGACTAATAACATTTGCATACAGACATGCATTATTCCAAAAGAAAATCCATAAGTACAGTTGGTATATACAAAAACGACGATATGGGATACTCATAGTTTTATAAAATATCGTGCCCCAGGTTAAGGCAAGGAACTTATGTTGCCTAGTCCATGCCACCCATTTTCAGTTGCTTTTGGGTTGGCAGTGGATGCTCAAAGTTTTAACAGGGTATATCAGTGTTTCTGTTAAATCTAATCCATATGTTAATGAAATACAACGCCCTTCAGTGATTGAATAGAACAACTAGAGGTTCTTGATGAAGAAAATAAGCTATTCCACCCACTAAACATTGGTTTGAATTGGATGCTCAAATTCTTTACAGCAACCAAAATTGTTTGTTCTACTTTAGGTCTGGGTGGCTTTATCGAGGTGGAGCAGGGTTTTGTTATGCTCTCAGTAACTTATAGAAATGAATTGTATCCTACGTTTTTTACAGGTTGAGCGTTTCAAAGAGGATGGCCCATAAGAGCTCCATCGATTCGACTGCTGCATCTTCTATGCATGTGGGTGCAATGACATCTGATGTTCTTGCTCCTTCTCCATGGAAGATATTTGGCTGTCAAAATGGTAGGGATTATTCTTTTATACTATATCCAAAAGAAGAAGCAGAGTCTTCATATTGCTTCAGACAGAAATTCTAGATGTCTATGTTATTTTTCCCAACAGGCTTGCGGCTATTTAAAGAAGGGAAGGACAAAGGTCCGAATGGGAAGGTGTGTGCTAATTATATCTGTTGTGTCTGAGTTTCCTGATTTCAAATAGATATTTTCCTTGGTATAACAAATGGTTTTGCATCTCAGCATCGGGATGGTTCTCCAGCAGTAATGGCGGTGGGTGTGATTGAAGGAACATCTGAAGCCATTTTCCGCACACTCATGTGTCTTGGTCCCTCAAGATCAGAGTAAGATTTCTAACTCTTCTTCCAATTATTCGGCATATACATGTACCACTAACAATCTTGAGCTTCTATCTGGTTTCTTTTATGATGACTAATATAGACTACCTTAATGGAGTTGAATGATGTTATGTATCCTTTAGGATATTTGTTCATGTATTTGCAATTTGAAAAGGAAGACTTTGAATACTTTTTTTGCAGATGGGACTTCTCTTTCTACAGAGGCTGTGTGGTTGAGCACCTCGATGGTCATACAGATATAGTACACATTCAACTATACAACCATTGGCTGCCGTGGTGAGGCTCATAACTCTTACCAATTTGACCTCACAATGTAAGCTTGTATTAACTCTCATTTTGCAGGGGATCAAAAAGAAGAGATTTGCTCCTACGGCGTTACTGGAGAAGAGAGGATGATGGCACATATGGTAATCAAAGAAATGAATATAAACATGTCAATTTTATTTCCATATGCTGAGTTTTACTCTGTGTATATGCAGTTATTCTCTATCATTCTGTCATCCACAGCAAGTGTCCGCCACAAAATGGATATGTCCGTGCCTGCATTAAAAGTAATGTATGCTTTAACTTTGAACTTTTAATCTGCACTTGAAATATTAATTTAGCTCCATTTAATTTGCTTCTCTAGTTGAATGTTCTTATTTTATGGAAAGGTTAACATTCCTTGAGTACAGGGTGTCAGCAGCATTCACACTAGTTCATTTTCGCATTTGTCAGTTTTTTTTTCCAAATCATTTGTCAGTTAAATAAGCATTGTAGCAGAGCATTCTGAGTATTTGTCCACAGTTTACAAGCGTGGACGAGATAATAGCTGTGATTGTCTGGCATATTTCCTTATCTGGAACAATCAATAGAGAGAAAAGAACGGTTTAAAAGTTTTCCAAACATTGTGATCTTACTGACAAAGTAAAAAAAGGTATATGAAATATAAGTCATTCGGATAAGACCCTAGATAAAAAGGATGAAAGAAAGACATGAATTTCCTACTGAAGCTAAAGCGCACTCTCTACATAAAAGAAGAATGAGTGAATACTAAGTCATTTAGTAGTTTGCTATTTCCGTCCTACTTTCACATGCCCACAACCAGGGGCAGAGCTAAGTGGTTCATGAATCTCCTCCTTCGGAAAAATTTACTACAAAAATGGCGCAAATATGAATTTTTTTGTTATATATAAACTGTTGAATCCCTTTTTCTAGTGTAATGGAAAAGGGGGTTCAAAATTGCTTTAGGCCACAAGTTCAAATCTTGAGCGTCACATTCTTGTAAAAAGGAAAGCCCGGTGCAATAAGCTCCCGCTATGCGCGGGGACCGGGGAAGGGCCGAACCACAAGGGTCTATTATATGCAGCCTTAACCTGCATTCTGAAATCCCCTTCCATACATTCCTAGTAATAATGTCCTTGTAATACTTTCATTTCAATTTTTTGTCCTTTAATCTGATCTTGATTGCCTTTTCTGTTAAGACTATATATTTCAATGAAGGCAGGCACGATTTCCCTTACACCTCTATTCTTAAACATTCTTTTTTTCTGTTTTCCTTTTTGGGAATTGTCAGGTGGTGGACATGTTATAACTCCAACCAAACATGGTAAACCATCTATTGTAAAGCACATGCTTGCTATTGATTGGAAGTTCTGGAAACCTTATTTGAAGAAAGGGGCCTCAGTATCCATAACCATCCGCGTCCTCGAGAGAATTGCTGGTATTCTTCTATGCACAGATAAGAAATGGACATTTTATTTCATTTTATCATTCTACTTCTCCTTGGTGCATGTTTTCACCTGAAATGACTGGTCTGTGCTCTTTTGCTTTGCAGCACTAAGAGAGATGTTCAGAGCAAAGGAAGGGAACTACTTCTCGGAATTGTCACCAACTGCGCTAACAAGGGATATTGATCTGCCCGTTAGTGAAAAGGAAGAGATCAAAACAGAAGTTGATTATAAAATGATCGAGGATGACAAAGTGACAAATGATGGAAAAAATCCAGCATCCTCAAATCTCACGGGATTGGATGATGCGGCTGATGAGTTTTATGATGTTCCTGAACCGTCAGATGACGAACACTCAGACCATGCTTGGACCTCCAATGCAAGTCCAGAAGTGGGTTGTATGGTACCCTCTGGTCTCTAAATTTTTAAATAGCTTTTTTATTAGTTTGTAGAAGTGGTTGAGTATCAAGTCATTTGTCATCATTATATCCTTCTTCACGAAGAACTTCCCAAAATTTGGAAAGGACCTTCTACTGGATTTTATTGAATTATATTTTAAATGGTTAATTGTCCAATTAATTTGCGTCTTCCCTTGTTTAAGCCTACCAATATATGTAAAGTATCAAGTTTTTTCATAACAAGGTTCTTTCATGTTGTAATATGCAGGACTCGTACCACACAAAATTGACCACTGCAAATATTGTGAAAAAATTACATGATCTTGCAGGTTAGTGTTGTTTGACTAAAAGACAGTTATGAGCTGGAAATAACCAATACATTATAATTGTTACTCTGACGTAGTTAATATGTCTTATTTACATTTTCAAATGTTGCAGTTCAGAAAAAAGGTTATATGGACTTGCAAGAAATGGCTCGGGAAGAGAGTGTGTCATTGTGCTATGGAGCAACTCTTCCAAAAGATCAAAGTTTTAATATGCCTTGCAGTTGGGCTGCTGCGGATCCATCATCATTTTTGATTCGCGCTGAAAGCTACCTGGCAGACCAGGAAAAGGTTGTCTCTTTTATTAAGAACGACCTAGTGAAAGTATCCACTACTATATGCTTCTGCATGCTATGATCCCTACTCTCAACAACAAAATTAGAGAAGCTCTGATAGAACCGGAAAGAGTTGAAAGATTAAATGCTTCTCCAGTTTCACCTTACTTATCATCTGATGGTGATTGTAATAATTGTAATACTTAGGATTGAAGCATTGCCTGAATACCTGATTGAGTGTTGTGGTTCACATTCTTTCCTTGTTATTGAATTCTGATAAGTTTATCCTTCTCTATTAGGTTAAGGCAAAGAGTACCTTAATGCAAATGGTTGCAGCCGATTGGTTAAGATCTGACAGGCGTGAAGATGACCTTGCCGGTCGCCCAGGAAGCATAGTTCAGGTACTTTGTTGTTCTTGAAAAAATAAAACCAGTCAATATATGCATGTTTCGAGTTCCACTTATAGAGACTGCATATCTCAAACTTTTTGTTGACAATGTTTAGAGATATGCTGCTCAGGGTAGGCCGGAGTTCTTTTTTATCATCAACATCCAGGTGATTACTGCATGCTGCTTATATATGTATATATAATCATCATAGACTTAGAATTCAGTTAATTTTACTGATTGGTATTTGTTAAATGGGTCAGGTTCCAGGAGCAACCACTTATAATCTTGCTCTATATTACATGTTGAGATCTCCTTTGGAAGAAACACCCTTACTCGAGCGTTTTGTCAATGGAGATGATTCTTTTAGGAATTCAAGGTTTAAGCTCATACCATACATCTCCAAGGTTGGTTCTTTTGGTGTGAAGCAACATTTTAACATTCTGAACTTCATTAATCCACTTCAACTTTCGTTACTTGAACATACAATCATATTAAATTTTTCCTTATCGTACATAGGGATCCTGGATAGTGAAGCAGAGCGTTGGTAAGAAAGCTTGCTTGGTCGGTCAAGCATTGGAAGTGCATTATTTCCGGGGGAAAAATTATTTAGAGGTAGAGTACTGCAAAACTCTATTGCGTTTTATGCTCTCATATCAAGTATTGAAAATTTGTGTTGAATTTTCAGCTTGGCATTGATGTTGGATCATCAACAGTTGCAAGGGGTGTGGTCAGTCTTGTTCTTGGTTACTTAAACAATCTTGTTATTGAAATGGCATTTCTGATACAGGTAAAAACCACTGTCTTTCTACTTAAATTATTGTACAACACTGCTATTCATACTTCTAAAAGAGCATTTCTGAAGTTAATGCCGATACTGCATGCATGAAAAGGCCAGTTTATGCAAAAATATGATTTTTTTCCAGGGTAATACACCAGAAGAACTCCCAGAATTCCTTCTGGGGACTTGTCGACTGAACCATCTGGACGTTTCCAAATCGATTCCAACTGACTCCGTAAGCATCAGCTAAACAAAATTATTTTTCTGAGAAGTTGCATTACTGCAGGGATTTATTGATCTACTGCAGAAGAATGAAGATAGGTAAATGGCAAAGGGAGATTCAAAGTTCAAACTGATTAATTCATGTATAGGCATTCCTTTACATCAAGTTATACTTGAGTTTTGAAGTATATATATATATATGTTGATTTTTATTTTAAGGTGGGGGCTATACAATCTGTAAATGTTTCTCCTCATCAAATAAAACTTCCATTCTTTGAATGTACACATTCTTCAATAACTGCTCATGTTAGCTTTTATATTTCTAGGAGGAGATACATTATTATACCAATTTTTGTTTTGGGGTACACTACCATTCTAATTTTATACATAATTATCTTACGTCAAAGAATTGTAAATCCTAAATTATTTGATTCTGTATACTGATGAACATTTTGTATAACCCAGAAATTAGATCTAGATATTTATACTATTAGATATAGAAAAAGGGGTAAATCAAAGTCAATATTAATATTCAATAGCAGATCTAGTGCTTTTCTGGCGGATATTAAATGTGTGCTATTAGGTAAGAATATCCTAGAACAATAATGGAGCAATAAAGGCTTGAAAACGTAAAAGATAACAATAAATGATAATAAATGGCGTTTAAGTAATAAATGAGACAAGTTTACCTGACAAGGGTGAGATTTTCCAATAAGTTTTCTGACAATAATGGATGATAATAAGCAGTTGAATATTCCGATTCTTCTTGGAACGGGAGAGAAAGACAAAAGAAAAAGAAGTGTAAAGTAGGCCTTGTATATATATATTCAATAAAGAGAGAATCTTCACAGAGAATGTCAATGATGTTTTTTACAAAAAAATATTCGATCCCTTTCTAGAACTACATCCCTTCATATCTATAAAAGTACATGGGTCACAAATATAACACTCCTCAAATTTATAAAAGTTTCTAGACACGCTAATTATAAAATTAAATTATTATTATTATTATTATTATTATTATTTCTTGCCTATATATATATATATATATATATATATATATATATATATATATATATATATATATATATATATATATACACACACACACACACACACACACACACACACACGCACACACACACACACTTAAATAATTGGATATACAATTAGGGAAATATTTATAATTTAATATCATTAATTATTAAAAGTGGGTATCATTAATTATTAGTTAAGTTAAAAAAAATAAAAAAGAGAGGAAAAAGGGGCCTAAAGCCCATAAAAAGGCTGATGGAACAAAAGGCTTCAAGCCTTAAGAAAACAGAACAAGGTTCTATTATTCATGAAAAGGATTAGAAGGCAAAAGCCTTAGACAAAAACAGAACAAACTCATGAAACAGAGAGCCATGAAACTCACGCAGGCAACAAAAAATCGAGGGTTCCTTACAAATCACTAATTCTTGAACTCAGGTATATAAAATTCCCTATGGTCAATTACCCTACAGTAGTAATAGGTAAGAATTGAATAGTTAATTCCCTTCTTTCTCTATATCAACAATAAATTTCATGTTTAGGTGTGAAACTTTAAAATTGATTAAAATACACTGGTTGTTGTAGAATCGATTGTTTGACTGGTGTAAATTGGACTGGGGCCTACGTATTGGCTCGAGAAGTTTTGAGGTGAGTTGATATAACCCTTTACTAAAGTGGTTTAACTCACCAAAGCACGCATACAATGTGTTTGATGAATTGCTTAAAAGAGTTTATATTTACTTAATTGGAGCGAGTGAGTACCTATTAACTTAGAACTGTTCTAGCAAAAGTTTAGATGATTTATATATGTGCATAAATTTTCAGATTTTTGTGTTATTCTTATATGCTATTTTTATGTTGAAAATTTATGAAGAAGCAAGAATCTTTAGAAATACTTTTAGATGTTTATTTTATTTTTATGTCATGCTTTACATTTAAGGATACCGGCATGAGCATGTACATGATGTTCCAAAAAGAAAAGATTTAGACTTGAAAAGTCACAAGAAGAAGTTTTAGAAAGAAAAGATTTTTGGGAGTATCCTTTATTCTAAGAAGGGGTCATCGTCCCGGCCGAGGGTCCTAACCAAGGCGTTGACTTCCTGAAACTACTTGTACCAAAGTAGTGAGCACACGAGCCGAGGGTCTCGTTACTGAGAATTTACTTGGCCATGCTAAGGTATCATACATGAGCGCTGAGGACCATGAAGCGAGTGACACCTCGTGGATTGGCCTATTCGATCAGGTTGGGATCGAACCCGTGCCGATCACACAGTGACTAAGACAGAAATAGGTCAGGATAGTTGGAACTCCCAAAGAATAAAGTGAAGTATTTTTTTTAAGAAAGAAAAAGAAAAGAATTTCTTTTAGAATGTTCATAAACTGCTATTATGCAATTATTTTAGAATTGTTCTTATAAGATTTATGTTTTACATGCATTTAGAATCTTTGCTCGTAATGTATATGTTATTAAAGTTTCGTCCCCTGTCGTTGAGACTCACTGAGTACAATGGATGGTCTGCGGTACAACGTAGGAACCGATTTTGCCGGCGAGCAGGCTACGGGTTAGGACTTCCCTCACTTCCAGTACTATTGGTGAGCTCCATTTTGGTTCGTAGAGTATTCCTTAGAGTCATCTTTATTTAGCTATCTCTTTGTTTACTTAGAGAACTGGCCATGTCCTGAGCAGTGCGTTAGTTTATCAGTAGAGGCTTTATAGACACAGTCTTTGGGTTAAGATTCAGATGTTTTTAATAATAACTTAGCAGTATTTCAGTAGTTACTACGAATAAAGTTTTGGAGTTGATTTATTTAAATATTTAAATTAATCAAATCTATTATAACTTCAAACTTTATATGTAACAAGGTAATACTTTAACCAAATACTTTTGATTAAACTAGCAGTTACTGTGCGCCGAAGACAAATGCTCGTCCTCGTCCTCGTCCTCGTCTTCCATTAAACCACCTCGACGATAATTCGTCTTCTTCACATGACCTCGCCCTTTTGGGGTCAGGTCGATATGTCGCAACATTGACGCGTCACACTCTTCAAAGGCTTTATCACTGTTGACCAGGTCAAACGCATGAAATGAAGCTTTTTGCCCATACAGTTAGTCCCTCCGCTTGTCGAGGTCGTCCTCTGGGAGAGACTTGATAAGTGGATAATATAGGCCGTGGTTGTCGTCAGAGATGGATGACGTAGTGTTTCATGGGTCACGTATTTTAAACTCATATTGTCATGATTTTCCCGAGTGACCTTTGGAGAGAACCTGATGTGGACGAGACGTGACGTCAATCATCATGATGACATCGGTTCCCGATGCATTGCGTCAGGGCACGTGCAGCTCACAGGTTGGTTCTGCTATTTTGCCTGCAGCGGTAATCATGACGAGTCTCCTCGAATCCCAAGGTTCCTTCATTATAAAAGAGGGGTGATCACTGATTCTGAATCTTTCTTTCAATTTTATTCCCGAAATTTCTTTCATCATCTTCCTAAACTTCCTTTCTATGCTCATTGCTTCTAAATCCTTCTTCCATTTTTTCAAACCTTTCCCTTCTTTAAATTTCCCGAATCTTGTAACCATGTCTAACTTGCCTTCTGATGTAAATGAGGAGATTCAAGATACTTCACTGGCTGTCGTGGCCTCTGTTCGTGGAGGATGCGCCATCTCCACCATTGAAGTGGAGGCTCTTCCCTTAGTGGAAGAGATTATTCCTCGTAACCCCGACGCGAAACAGTACTTGCAACGACAGCTGGAGGCGATGGCTGAGGTTATCCGGTCCTCTCTAACGGACAAGCATTTAATGGAGTTCAAGGCTAAGTTTGGCATCCCTGACCAAGCAAAGATCGTAGCCACGGGCAAGGACGAAGTGTATACCCATCGTCCAGGGTAGTGCGCCCTTTATGCCTACCCCTTCACCATCAGCTACTCTCTTCCTCTTCCGCCTTTGGTGGAGGAATTCTGCCGCTACTACCGGGTCTGCCCGGCCCAACTTGCGCCCTTGGTCTACAAGGTGGCCAAGATGTTGTCAAAATTCGCCGAATCGGCCGATGTTGAGATCACTCTTCGACATATTGTGCACTTGTTTATGCTAACCTTTTATCGCGGTACAATGTTGAATATTCACCACCGTGGAAGCAAATCCCTCGTCGTCAAGATGGATGACAAGGTTAGTCAACAATTTTGGCTCGACTTCTTTTACGTCAAAATAGAGTTTGTTGTGGCCCACGTCGCATACTTTCCTAAGGCTTGGAACCATGCCCGCAAGTGATTTTCCTTGTCTGCGTTTTGTCATGCGACTGTGTGTTTTAACTTTATGAATTAACTCTTCTTGTTTTTGTAGCTACTGCTCGGAGCCTCTAGTTAGTGACGCACCTCACCGACTGGGTTAGGCAAGTCCTTCCTTGCACTGTGGGGATTCATGATTGGTAGAGCTTTTGGCAGAGATACAAACCGACTCCCCCTCCGAAAGGTAACCTTGTTCTTTGGATGGCGTTATATTTGTACTCACCCATTTTATTGTGCTCATCTTTATGTTTCTTTCTAGGCCACGTCAAGGAGGTTGCTAAAAAGAACCTGGCATTGATGTCCTATTTTAGGAGAAGGAGGGGTGTTGCTTCCTCTACTCCTTCCCCTATTTCAACCGTTATGACCGTTCTTCCTTTGGCTCCTCATTATATTGAAGATGAGGAAGTTTCTCCGTGCAATGTGGACCTGAGGCCTAGGAAGAGGAAAGTCGTAGATGGGGGAGACGATATATCGGTGGCGGTTGACTTGTCGGAAGTCTCTCCCGAGGTCGCGTTGCAAGTTACCGTGGCAACATTGGCCAAGGGAGGTATAGGGACAGCCTCAAATGTGCCTAGCTTAGAGGGATTTGATGTTGTTGCTTCCTTCGACTTAAAGAGGATGAGGAGTCGTGAATGGTGCTAATGATGGTCCCGCTCGTCCCGGGCGTGGGGAGGCTTCATCTTTCGACCCAGCCCACGAAGTTTCCCATGCTGACCAGGGGAAAGGCCAGATGCCTGGTCGAACAGGACGATGAACGGGCTGAGTTTATTGGCGACGAATTGACTCTGACCTCGACTCGAAAGATCACGAGATGATCGGCAACGTGTCACGACCCGGAATTCCCACCCTCGGGAGTCGTGATGGCGGCTACTAGTGGGAGCTAGACAAGCCAAACCTTAATTACCTTTTTCACTAACGCATTACCTCTTTTAACAAATAACATCAATCGAATGCAAACGATGGA